ATTGATAAATTGTGGTGCGTTCAATTGGAGCTTTGATCGCCGTCGGGTGTAATTTAGGTATTTAAATGTTAAAAACAAACGGAAGACTTCATTTCTTTAACTATTTAGAAGAAATTATTATTATATAAATTAAAATTAAACTATTAATAAACACAGGCTATGCTTAATTCGTTTTTACTGCGAAAGAACGATTACATATTGCATTCAAATATTTTCAAAAGTGAAGTATAATATTAGATAGATCTAGATAATAATGTCCGTAGGTATACTAATATAAAAAAAATATAAATCGTAGTTGAATTCAATAGAATTGATTGTTCGTTCTCCTTGAATAAGGATATAATATAAAAAAAGACAGAAAAAAATACCACTCAAAGCATACATAATAATTCTCGCGTAAAGAATGTTGTTCTTATATCATTCGCTATTATCATAAACGCCTCGTTTAATTACAATCGCTTGTAATATGATCGTTATTTTTGACAAGTATCTCGTATTTAAATAAAACACTTTAACGGTTTAAAACGCGATATATTAGTTAAACTTATTTGAAAATGATTTTTAACTTCGGCCCGACGTTTCGGATGCTTTGCAGCAGCCGTGGTCACGGGGAGACTAAAGATGGAGGATGTCTCTGACGTCAAAGTAAAGAATTGCTACGCTAGCGCCATCTGTTCCGTCGAAGTTGGTATTTGGCGAAACTGGCCGGGTCCTTACAGAATTGACTAACGGTGTCTTCGCGTTTGCTGGTATGCTGTTTATTGGGATCCAGAGTTTTTAATATGGGATCCCAGGTGTTTGATAGTTTGAGGCCGTCCTCCCTATTGAAATTTCGGTGTTTTTTGATTTCAATTGCTTCGCGTACCAATCTTGGAAAAAATCGACTCTCCTTTGCGAGGATTTTTGGTTGGTCAAAGCGAATGTAGTGATTGGGCCCTTCTGATGAGTGTTGGCATACCGCAGATTTGGAGAGACGTTTATGTTTTATATCCGCGACGTGTTCTTTAATTCTGTTTGAGATGCTACGCTTTGTCTCCATCTTTAGTCTCCCCGTGACCACGGCTGCTGCAAAGCATCCGAAACGTCGGGCCGAAGTTAAAAATCATTTTCAAATAAGTTTAACTAATATATCGCGTTTTAAACCGTTAAAGTGTTTTATTTAAATGTGTACTACTCGCGTAAACTATAGACAGTATTTAAGTATCTCGTAATTAAATATAGCACGTGATTCATTTATTATTAAACAGATGATGTAATGGGAGCGCTTTTATATACAGATTATATTAGGCTATAGATAGAGAAGAATTGGTTAGATTGGGCTATAGATCTATAGCCAAATCGAAACACTCTTATTCATACGACGATATTTTCGCAATAAAAACCCCGGACTTCCATCTTGCGATAGTTTTAGGCCCGACCAAAAAAATATTGTTCAAATTTTATTATTGTAGCTTAAATCTCTGTAAAATCAAGTCTGTAGTTTAAATCGTACACATTTAAACAAAACATTATGGCGGTTTAAAACGGCATATATGTTAGTTAAACTTATTTGAAATTAATTTAACTAAGGCCAGATGTTTCGATTGCTTTGCAGCAGCCGTGGGGGAGACCCATTTCAAAAAAGTTTACCTAATATACATCGCGTTAAAACCGTTAAAGTGTTTTATTTAAATCTATTGTTACCCCAGGATTCGAGACCTAACCATTTATCTAGGGCGATTATAGGACCCACTTATTGTCGTCCCAAATCGAGATTATTTTGCATACAACATTGTTAAATGAACAATGATATCGAAATAAACGGAAGTATTACTAATAATAACAAGTGCTCAAATCCACGACGCCATTGTGTTGTGATTAGTATGACACGAATTTGGAATTCATTCAATCACAGACAATAGAGTTATATCACCTGGGCATTTCAATTGTCTATACCGTGTGCCGAGAACCTAATTTATGCGTAGTCTATAGTCTATACTTACTTATACAAAATATAAAATATAAAAAAAAAAACAAAATGTTTGCGATGGTTAGACATTAACAATTCAATTTAAATTTTATTTAACATTTTGGCATTACATATTTACGTATTTGTCATTTTACATGTTTATCTATACTAATATTATCAAGGTGAGGAGTTTGTTTGTTAGAACGCGCTAATCTCAGGAATTATTGGTTCTATAATGAGAATTGATTGTTGATAGACCATTTATCGAGGAAGATTTTGAGCTATATAACAATTCACTGCGACGAACAGGAGCGACGAAACACAGCGAAATGTGGAAATATATATACGAAAAAATATTGTAGAGAAAATACGATATACAGAAAGCGTTAGAAGATTACGTATTTTTTAGATTTTACGTTGCGAGCGCTGCAAATAAAAGTATTGCAGAAATCAAGTGTCAGCAGAATTGTTATTAAAAAGATTGGAATACCACGATGGCTGTGTCATCTAAAAGGCTCCCAAAATCATTATAAAGTTCTATAATGAAAGCAAAATTTTACAGCTGTCTGCGTATGCGCTAACGTGAGTGGAAAATTAACACGTAACTTTTCTTTCATAAAAAACTTGTTCCTAAAAGTGGTTGTGAATAACGTTAATAGAACAATGTATTTATTCACTTTGTTTATTGCGCGACAGCGGTTGCTGCAAACATCCGAAACGCGGGGTCTTAGTTAGTTGTTTAAGTAAATAAAAAATATGTTAACTTAATAGTTTTAAACCGTTAAAATATTCATTAGATGGTTTTGGAGATTCGGAAATTTCCAAATTGAAACCAAACCGCATATTTTCACTTCACGACTTCTTAAATTTTCGATATACCTATTATAAATGTAGTGAAATAGGCACAGGAATGTGCACCACATTTAATTTTGAAGACGGCGTCTTACAATATTGGAAAATTTTTACCCAACCAACTACCATTGCTACCATTAGATTACAATCATATTTATCTAAATAAAACACGTGTTTTATTTAAATGTGTACTACTCACGTAAACTATAGACAGTATTTCATATTTATTTTTTAATTTTAAAAATTTTGTACGAAACAAGTGCAAAAGGTCAAAGACCTTTTATTTTCTAGCAATTATCTCTTACTAGCCTGTACAATGTTGCATCTGACAATCGTTAACGTGATGGCCGCATCTAAGGTCATTACCGTGCGGAACACGTGCTGGTGTCAACAGCCACCAAATGAAAGTGCATCTTAGTGATTCAACACATGAAAAGTCCAAGATAAACGCATTAAACTACTGTGATTGCTTTGCATGAGATACCTAGATTGTTACCTAACACGGGCTCATGGTCCAGTGGTGGACACGGGTTGTAGCTTTAATTCCCACCAAGTACAACGTATTGTGTGTAGTAACGAACGTAGTGTACATTTAAATAAAGCACCCTTAATGGTTTAAAACTCGAAATGAATTAGTTATTTTTTATTTTGCCTACGGCCTGACGTTTCGAATGCTTTGCAGCAGCCGTGGTCACGGAGGGACGGTGACATAGTTAAAGTTAATTTTAAAATAATAATTATCACGTTTAAAACCGTTTAAAGCGTTTTATTTAAACAGGTAGGAGTTTCTTCGTGAAATGCCGTCTGATCGACATTGACATTTCAATTTTAATCTGTGGATTTCTGAATAGTCATAAAGTCAAAATAGGCCAAAAACCGTCAATATTACATTCAATTAATAGAAGGTGACATAATCCAGTCATATAAATGAATAAGTGGGCCGGCGAACTATTTGGTCTGCATTTTGGACATTTACCTACCCTTTCTAATGAAACATGTATAGACGTAAGTATATTACAAGTTTATGTATGCACGAGCACAGATAGCATATCTTCCACTCACTTTTGAAAGCTCCTATGATCTAATAGGAATTAAATCTAACGAAAGCTTCGATTACAACAGACACCAAATCTTTGATTACAGTGTTGTGCGGTAACTTTGGTCGTGTACCTTTTTTAGCCAATTGTGTTAAAGGGTACAATGATTTGGACTTAATAGAATATAACACATTCGATTTAATATCTTGCTTTAGATAAATTATGTCAAACCAAAAATATAATGGTTGTGTCATATTTGTGAAATATTAAGTTTGAATTAGAACAATTAATATCAACTTAAAAAACTTTTAAGTTAAACGATTTTGTTTTTTGTGCACTGAAAACTACAAAAAAATATTTTTTTTTTACATAATCATCGTGTTTTACGCGAGTAGTACACATTTAAATAAAACACTAACGGGTTAAAACGCGATATATTAGTTAGGTAGTCGGGCCGTAGTCAAAAATAATTTTCAAATAAGTTTAACTAATATATCGCGTTTTAAACCGCTAAAGTGTTTTATTTAAATAGTATAGCCTTTTCATTTGATCTTTATCAAAATATGTAATCCGCCATTTGATATCGGCGGCCATCTTGGATATATAATGTTATTGATTTGTGTTTTTTAAATATGTACTTCTCGCGTAAACTACATACACTAATTAATTTATACTTCTTTGGCGTTTCATATGAATATAAAAACAAATTATTCGTAAAAATACTTACATTGTATTTGTGCATTGCGAAACTTGACGTTTTTGCTACAGATATAGTTCGTGTTTCAATCTGTTATAAATAGCAGGCCAACAGGATCAAGTCCGAATCCCGAACCAGTTCTGAATGTGTCATTTGTACGTCAACCAATAAACGCAGTGCAACGTGATCATATGACGCAACGCTTCCGTTACCTCATTGTTGGGCTCGGAAGCCCGATGGCCCGATCCCATTCTTTCAGCCAGTTCAGTGAAAGGGTCCTCCGATACACTTTTACCCTCAGCGGCGCAAGCTTGAGCGCAACTCTTATAAATTCGGTGAAATTCCCTCGACTCTACATTACGAATTCGGCGGCTGTAGAGAACAGCCGTTAGTATAGCTAGATTAGTTTTAACATTAGATAGTGGCTTAGTTTATACCGTGTCGAGCGTTCTAATAAGCGTACAAAATGAAATATACGGTGAGTGCGTGTTGTGTTGTGCATTTGGATTTGTGCAAGGATCCCTAGATTAAAGGATATTTCTAAAACCTATAAAAATACTGTTAAACTTAATAAATCATTTTAAACGGTTTTAAACGCGAAATTTACGTTTGTTTTACGTTTTAAACCGTTTTAGTGTTTAATGTGTATAACTATAACTTTATTTAGCTTTAATAACGATTAACATAACATTACAGTAATAATTTAATATTACTGTAATGTTATGTTAATAGTAGTATTAAATTCTACATAAAAATTACTATTAAAGTCTTTGGACTATACTTATATTAGGAATGTTATATACATTGATGATAAATATATATAGAGCTTTCGTTGATTGCATATTGATTGCACCGGCATGGATATTGTTTTAAAGTAAAAGTGGTAAAAGTAGGTTTATAATAACAGCTATAATCTTGAATACCATGCGGGTTATTTTTATGTGATGTCGGCAAACCTGTTTGGGATTCCCGCTTTTTTCTTATTAGCATTAACGAAAGTGAAATTTATAAATTACATTTTCTCACTAGCATTTTAATCGTGGCTAATTCTCTAAATCATCTTTCAGATTGCATTCATAACGATCGTCAGTATATCGGCGACATGGGCTATAAAAGCGAAAGTTGAAGATCCTAAGGACAAGAGAGAGGCGGCGGTTGGCTATGCGTCACCAGGCCACTCCAGTCAGGCTTACAGCTTCCAGGCACCAGCTCAAGGACATGAAGACGCTAGCTCGATCAGCATTGGTGCTGGATACAGCGTAGGGGGTGGAAAACCCACATACAGCTTCGCAAATCAAATCTCTGGAGCTCCATATCAAATACCATCCGAAGGACTACCTGCTAGTGGCCACGCTGCTCTGCAGTTAGCCCCAATTACACTTCAACCGTCTCACGGTCTCGTTTCTAATGACCTCTCTCAACTCATGAGCCAACTTTCTCAAGGAATTAACTCTGGAGCTATTTCTCTACCTTCAGGTGGTCAGGGAGCCGTATATCAATTTGGTGGGCAAAGTGCGCACGGGGGTCAAGAGTTCGCATTTCCTCAATTTGCGTACAGTTCTCCAAACATGCAACAGTACACTTTAGGTGAACAGGCTCAACCAGCGGTTCCATCTTACGCTTCCGGCACTAAAGGGTTAGGTTCTTACAGTTCTACGGGTCCAGTATTATTCTCGCCGGAATCTCATTCCAATCAAGGATCCCAGAACTATGCTGTTCCTTCAGGAGGTCATTCTGTAAGTGAAGGGGCCTTATCTTACGCTGATGCTGGACAATCTGTGCCCTCATATTCTTTGGGTAGTTCCGGTCACTCTTATGGTGGTTCATTGAAAGCATACGCGGGTGGTCACGGAGTTCCAGTCAAAACCTCGTTTAAGCCATCGGCATTCTTGGGTTCCGTTCAATCTGAAGGTCACGGATTATCTGGTTCATACGCCGCGCCCTCATTTGGTAACTATCAGAGCGGTGGTTTGTCTTTAGGTGCTCATGGTCATGGTGCCAGTTTTGGATCCTTAGGTGGTCTCAGTGGAGCGTCACCCAAATATGTGTCGCAGTCCTACTTACCTGCTAAATCAGAAGGTCTCGGTTCTTTAGAGTCTATCGCGTCGGCATTCTCTACAAGTGGGCAATTAGGCCACTCTTCTCATGGACCCAGCCATGGTTTCCCATCTTCAGCGTACAGTAGCAGCAACGTCCACAGTGCATCTGCCCACACTCCTCAGTACTACGTTTCATCTTCCAAACACGCCCCTGGTGGTTCGTTTGGCTCCGGCAGTGTATCGTACAAAGGTCCGATCTCCGGACACAGCTCGTTGAACTCCTTCTCATCAGGACCTAAATACAGTTTTGGTGGACAGAGCTCGCGTTACCTTCCAGCAAAAGACTCCCACGGCGCTTACAGCGAGACTTCTTACAACACCATCAAGTACAGCGAAGAATTGAAACCTCGTATTCACTAAACTGCTCCAGTAAGCAACGATGGCGCTGTAAATAGAAGGTTATTATTAATTATGGATGATGAGTGTTTACGAAATCGCGGTTTAAGCGAAAGCGTTGCCTTTGGTGTTATTTATTTGCGTACGTTCCGCTAATTTAGCAACAGGAGAATGCTTTGATTCTTGCCGTTAGTCAGCTGTGGGCTGGAGTGCTTTCTATTTTGGTAATAAAACCTGTTCTTTAATTATAAGTTCATAGCTTTTCGGTGTGCTTCCTATTCTATGTGATTAAGCGGGAACTTGTTTTGAATGCAGTGAATTTCTGTAAATAGATGTGTACGATAAGCTAGATTATTTATTGTTAATATACAATTGTTGATTGTTAAATAAATCTTTGTTAAAACTATATTTTCTTTCATTTATTAATATGAAAAAGCGTTATGCATTTGTTTTCCGCCATTTTGTGTTGTACGTATTAATTATAATCTCATATAATTTATATGGCGCGTGGATAGGAAATGTGATATTGTTGCTTGTATAATCGACGCCAAGTATTACGCTTGGTCAGTTTCACATTTAGGAAAGTAGGGGAAATTGAAATCGCACATTATCATTGACTTGATGGCAAGATTCTATACTGGTGGAATATTTAAGCGGCTACTTTACATTCTACTGTTTCAGCTTTGTGTATAAAACACTGATGTTGTTATTTACGATCTAGGTTGTAACGAGTACAGACTCTTTAATCTCAAATATTAGACAACGATATGTAAAACACGAAATATATTAGTTAGCTTATTTACAATTTATTCTAACTAGAGCCTGACATTTCGTAAGAGTTCTTCAACTAATATATTTCGCTTTTAAAACCGTTAGAAGTGTTTTATTTAAATAAGCACTACTCTAAGCTTGCTAAGTAAAGTATTTTCGCCATCACGTGTGGACGGCATCATTAGGAGATGTTAACTCCTCAATTGCTCGAAGAATAATTAATTCTAATAAGAAGCCCTAAAGACAATGATATGCTGAACGTATGTATTTAAATAAAAAACTTTAAACGGTTTAAAACGCCAAATAGTTAACTTCTACAAAGCGTCCGAAACGTCACCCCGTAGTAAATTCAAATACACATGAGTTATATACATATTTTATGTTTTAAACAGTTAAAAGTGTTTTATTTAAATGTGTACTACTCGCGTAAACTAAAAAAAAATTATATGAGTACTTAGATTTTGTTTTTCCATATTCAACCAACCAAGTTTACGTAATCAAAAAGCCTCAAAATGACCCACATGCATTTTTTTATTTAACCAACGAGTCTTCCGTATTATGGCAAATAAAACATAGGAGAGGAGTAGTTAACAATGTCCGTTCACGGTCGAATTATTTGGAGCTGCGCGAGCGCTGCGTTCACTTCCGAATTCTCAGATGTCTTATGCAATTCACTTGTTCCGCTGGATCTTGTTTTTATTTTGATTGATTTATGTTACTTAATGCAGTAAAAATTGAGAGTTTTGTAAAAATGATGTCATAAAGACGAAATGTTAGTTAGGTATTTCGGTTATTCTAAAAAATCTAACGCTATCCTAGAGTAAGAGGCATCTAAGTGTTCAAGAACGCAGTGAGCCTTCTGCAGAGGTTAAACCAACGCTTTTTACATAGAAATAGGGCGTCGGGTACAAAAAATCTTTACTATTAGGTAGGAGACCTATCTCTGATTATAAACAAAGGTTAAAACGAGATCTACATTAAGCAAACAACAAATAAACAACCAACAACCTCTCTCCACATTGCGTCCCAAATTTGGCACCACCCACTCATTTATTTCATTTGGATTATTTTAGAAGGTTAAACAGGTATTAAGAAAGGCTTAATGAGATAATTCAGTACGGGGAAATAATAATAAAAAATAAGGTAAATCATTATTGTAATGATAACAACGCTCGGGGGTTGGAAGAACCCGCTGGAACTTGGCGATAAAAGTAGTGGCCGCGGGTTTCTTGCGATTTTTTCTCGTTCGTTCTACGCCCATCGTCCATTTAAGAACTGGTAGTAAGTGTAAATTTAGAGTTTTTAATTTTTTTTTAGTGTACCTACCTACATGAATGAATGATCTAGATTAGATTTACCTTAAAAACTATATAGGACAAACAATGTTTTAAAGGAAGTGAATACAGTCGTAGCGTGTGCGCCTAACTGAAAAATTTAATTTATAATGACAAATAAAGACTTCTGAATTCGGGCGGTGTGTTACTAGTAGGTGTTTATAGAATAATTTATGCTACGCAGTCACGCGATAAGACAAAAAAGATAGAGACTAGGCCAATGTGGTTTATAACTTTATTATGCAATTGACAAAAATGTAAAAAAAAAAACAATAATTGTGACGATTCTAAAGCATGTCGTTGCTTTAAGTACGAGAGGTGCTCAGTTCAAGTCCCGGGAAAACAATAGATGACGGTCGCAACCACAAAATATTAGTGATGATGTTTGCCACTAAAAAACTGATAACTGAAACGGACACACACATTGTCCGCCCCAAGTATAGAACGAGAATAGATTACACTTTTACAATCATAACTATTATATATGTTGTTTAAATTCGTTTCAACGTGTTCTGATAACATTAATTAATCTGTAGTACTTTTCATGATGCCATATATAACATTTAGAGTAGATGTGCTGTGATGGACCTTTTTTGGCTTTGAACATACAGATTCCATAAACCGAAATGCGAACAAAACTTGACGGCTTTTTCGTATGTGTTTAATACTTAGATTTCCAGATTTAGTCCAACTTGTGTCAGAAAAAATAGAAAAAAACTTATTATAAAAATTAGTAAAATGTTAGACCAGGTAGGGATCGAACCGCTGACCCGTTGATTATCAGACATACATTGCTAATATTGAACCATCGAGCGTTATTAGACAAACAAAAGATGGTCGCAAAGGCCTTTTAAAAATAATCTGTAGTCATAAATATAGGCTCCATCTGTTGCAACTTATTTGAAATTTACAAGAGAAAGGTAAAGCACAAACGTTTAGTCGCTTGCACTGTGAAAGGCATACAAAGTACGGTGCTTATAACGTAGAGGGCATATTAATTAAAACTATGCATATTTTTCTCTCACCCTTTCTTCATAAACTTATGTTTTGTAATACTATGTATTACGTCATCTGATTTTGACAATTATGAATTACAGATTGTTATAGATGAATTTATAAAGAAACAGTCCCTAAAAAAACACAACGGTCTATAACAGATATATTAGTTAAACTTATTTGAAAATGATTTTTAACTTCGACCCGACGTTTTGGATGCTTTGCAGCAGCCGTGGTCTCCTCGGCTGCTGACCCCAAAGCATCCGTAATAAGTTTAACTAATATATCGTTTTAAACCGTTAAAGTGTTTTATTTAAATGTGTACTACTCGCGTAAACTATAGACAATATTTTAAAAACAGTATATGAAAAATATGCAAAGCTTAAAATGACTTGCCTTTAAACCCGATTAAAACAGATTCAAATGCCGCTTGTTTCGACGATTTATCTGCTTTACGAAGCAATATTGATGTATTAAAATTAAAGTTAATAATATCTTGTATGTACTAGCATCTACTACAAATAACAAAAATGTTTTGCTATGAATTTAAAAAAAAATCTGAAAATTACAATTTCGCAATGCCGTTTAGAAATTTGGAGATCGCTTTTTATAATCAGATTTTCTTTAAATAAAATTGTAAACAGTTTTTATGCGTGGCAACCCTGGATTCTGTTTTAAGAATAAATAGATAGGTATATCACAAAGACAATAATGTATGATATCTCAAACGATCTATATGATAAAACTATTATGGTAATTCACTGTCATGCAATATTGAATTATTCTGTAAGGATGTGTGATTGGTTTTTAATAAATAAATATAAAACATGACTTCGTAATATGTTATACATACTATTATAGTTACTTCACTTCGTGTCACGTACCTATCTTACGTATCTAATTAATTCTATAAAGTAGTTAGACGTGGGATGACTTAGATGGGCTAAGATATAATTAATGTGTAAATTAATTGAAAGACAACACAACACACAGCATTCGCACATTTGTTTTGCACCGAGCATTTACTTTATTGCCACACCCTCTAAATAGAAGCTGCTAAATGAATAGCGCAGAATCTCACAGTTTCGCCATTTAGCGATGAATTACATTGTATGTAATCTATACAGACCACACCCCACGCTCAGTGTAAAACGTATTGTCTAAAGGTTTAGCGAGTATAGTTTAAATACATTTAATTAAAAACAGATTTATAGCAGTTTGAAATTCAAAGTAGATTAGTTAAATTATTTTTAATGGTGCCGTAGCAAAGGTTGTATCTAATGTCAAAGTGAAATATGCTACGGTAGCGCCATCTGTTTCCTTGTAATTGCTTTTTGGAGAAACAGTGTAACTCTAATTGAGTTCTTGTATGATTCGGACATGACCCGTTTTGTTTCCTCAGATTAATATTGTTACTAGGGGACCCTATGTTTTTTACACACTTTTTAATGATTTTCAACAACAGCTTATATTGGTTAGTTGTTATGATTTGCCAATCTAATCTATAAATAATAAAAATTGTGTATGAAGATTTGGAGACTCAGCTAAACCAAAAATGGCGGCCTTTCTTTGAGCCTTTTTTTATAATCTTTGCAATGGCTGAGTCAATATTAATAAACCCTTATAACGACAACTGTTATACAGAATAAATAGTATAAAAGGAACTACGCCAAGTGAAACATGAAAAAGTTGTTAATGTTTAGGAAATTTCCCGCCGCGACAAATATGTCGTAACTGGGCATATCGAATGCTATACGTTTCCGTACTGTTCAGGAAGGGCGAAACTGGATCTGTTACGGGGCAGGACAAAGACCTGTACTTCCTTCAGTACTGCCCCTTGATACCAAGAAAGTTGTAAGCGCTCATATAAATGCGTGAACTTGATATTAACTTACACTTTTCCAAGCGACATTAGATAGGAAACGCAGTGCTTAAAGGCGATGAGTAATTGACGCGAAACAAAATGGCGAGAAGGGAAATTTTCGTGAGTAAACACACACATTTAATAGATCTTTTTTATGTTATACGTACAATTATGTTTGTAATATTATTTACTAACTTTATAAATTATTAAAACTTAATAAACTTTTATGACTGCGATGATTACGTTTAAAACTTAGCATAGCTAGCTAGTATGTTTGCCCAAATGTAGTGTACTGTAATGCAGTCTCCGCAGATATGCCAAGCTAATAATTAATTACTTTTACATATTATATGAATACTAGCTGACCCGGCAAACGTTGTTTTGTCATATAAATAATTTATAACTAATTAAATGACGATTGATCAGATTTCGACCGGAGAGGAAAAATGATTGAATTACTAAAATGACTATTAAAAAATAAGGGTTGATCGTAGAAGGGTGAAAATTGAGGATTGTATGTATTTTTGTGTTTTATCATAAAAAAATAAAAAATTTTGTCTAAAAAATAAAAAAAATATGAATAATAAATATGAAAAATATATAATGTTGGCCGATTCTCATAGATAACGGATAAGCACAAAAAATTTTATCAAAATCGGTCTAGCCGTTTCGGAGGAGTATGGCAACGAAAACCGTGACACGAGAATTGTATATATTAGATTAAACACACTAACTTAATCTTAAGGACCTAACTAACACACTAACTCGGACTCACTATTAAAATTGAAAACTTTCACTGATTACAAAATTTTAACGTGTTTTGCATCATGAGGATTGATTATTATGATTATAACTTATAAGTAACAATTGAATTTTTTCTCGTCTTAGATATGTATTGCTTTCGCCGCGCTGGTGTTCGCGAGCGAGGTGGACGACTCAGAACAGAAGAAGAGAGGTGCTGGAAAAGCGAACGTTCTTAACGCGATCCCAACGGGAGCTCAAAAACCCGAATACACATATAACATCTACCAGAACCCCGCACAAAGCACCCCAGCTCAAACGTACCAGGCACAAATACCGAATTCCTTCTACCCCAATCAGCCGAGTCAGTACTACTCCAATGGAGACGCGCAGACAGCCCACATACCCCAGACATCGCATTTCGTCCCTATTAACTTCGTTCCCAACAATGGATATCAGCAGAAATACCAAATTGTGCCGAAGCAAAATGTCCAATTGGCCGTGGTACAGCAACCGACGCCTTACCCCTCCATCCTCCAATACCCTCAAATGGTGCTAGCGAACCCCTCAAACCATATAAACCCACAAAGTCCCATACAGTTCCCAAATGGTCACTTTAACTTCCCACAATATCAGTTGCCAGTCGGTAATCCATTTATAGGCCATCCATTGTTCGTTCCCCCTAATATCTATGGTAACGTAGGTGTACCCAATCAGCCGCAAGGTGTCGTGAGTTATTACCAGCCACAGACTAAACAGAACTACAGCCCGAGCAGTTCCACAGATTATGATAAACTTCACACCCAATCTGCGTCCCCAAAAGAAGACACAGACATCCAGAACGATTATATCTCTTCAGATTCTAATTCCGCTTTTAAGAACACATATAACTCAGCGCGCAGTACATATACAAAGATAAACTAACCCACTGGTTCAATATTGTTACGCCATTTTTGTTATAGTATTTATTGCATGTTAATAGCTAACTAATGGATGTTATGTATGGTTAATAAAGTTTGTTAATATACGGTTATTTTTTAATTACCTTGAAAATAGTACTTTATATAAGAAATAACAGCTAAAGCTTTCAAACACTACCTTTCCTTTAACCGATGTTAAAGCAAAGGTAATGTTTGAAAAAATACATACAATTATATATTGTATTAAAAAAAAATACTTTTAACGGTTTAAAGCGCGAAATATATTAGTTTTTATCCATTTACGCGTTTTAAACCTTTAAAACTGCCTTCTTTGAATGTGCAGTAAACACGTCAACTACAGACAATACTACATACAAATTATATCTAAATATGCCTATATATAAAAAGTATATTATATCTAAATGTTAGTTGCTACAGTTTATCTGCCATCTTAACGGTTCTTCTGTAACAGGTCTAGGTTTTAATCGTTGTTGGGAAAAGATTTCTTAAGAATTACTTAGGGTTTAAAAAAAAACTTTTAACGGTTTAAAAAGGGAATTTTTTTTAAAAATTTTTTTGAAAATGTTTTTTTCCGGCGGGCGGGGGTGGGGGGGTTTGGGGGGGGGGGGGGGGGGGGGGGGGAAAAAATCATTTTAAAAGATTTTTACAAAAATTACATACAGTGTTTGAGTTGTGATCTTTTATATGTTATACGGCAATTTTTATGCACCTATGAAATGCGGCAAGACGTTAAAATTAAATCTTATTGTTTAAAATAAACTTTTATGAATTGTTATTACTTGCAATTAAACAACTCTTTAACTTGTCAATTGTCATGCTAACTGCTTAAAACTTTAGGAGTTATTTTAATAACGTTAAGTAAGTAATAAAACTATTACAAGTGAACCAACTCAAATATTAACGCAAATAAAAATACCACATAATATATTATCACGACGGTTTCAAAAAATAACGCAAGCCATCTCACTGGTTTAATTATGTAATAAATTTTCCCATATTAAGGCCGTTTATGGCGAGAGAAGGAAGGAAAAGTAACGAAGATCTTTAACTATTTAAACGGTTTATGACACTGTAAAATATGTTTTATATTTACATGTTTACAACGATTACAATTTCAAACGTTTTTATATAGTGCTAATTAACAATAAAAAGCTTAAAGAAGTAAACCAGGCTAGGCCTACGAGATTGGTCTTAACGAGTGTCGCCACTATAACGGATTAATTTACAGAAGTTATGAGAAGCGACATACAAAATGGTTATCTTTTAACGATACCAGAAAAGATATCAAACCAAGCCCATTTGAAATACTGTCTATAGTGGCTTACGCAAGAGTAGTACACATTTAAATAAAACACTTTATCGGTTTAGAAACGCGATATATTAGCATCTAAAACTTATTTGCAAAAATGATTTTTAACTTCTGCCCACGACGTTTCGGTTGAAAAAGTTAATTTAAAATATAGACATATAGTGTCGCGGACATTTTTTAGATCATTTAAAGAGAAGTCATTCTTTCATACATATTTTTTGGACGTCTTGAACCGTTTTCGTGGCATACACAATATCTCTAACCCTCAGAGATGAAATAAATCCCCCGTTTTGTTCACATTTCCCGCTATATCTTGGCTTCTATTAGTCACAGTGCGATATTTTATAGCTTCCTTCCTCCTTCCTACCTTCCTTGATAAATGCCCTAACTAACACAAAAATAATTCTTCAATTCTAACTAATAGTTCCTGAGATTAGCGCGTTCAAACAAACAAACTCTTCAATTTTGTATATTAAGTATAGATTGGCATTAAAGATTATGTACTAAAGATAAGTTATCTAAGTTAAGAAAACAATATGTAACTTACGAAATTTTATTCCTCACTAGATGTGCCCGCGTCTTCGTCCACGCGGAATAGTATCTTTGGGTAGAAATTTTAATTATTTTATTAAGTTCTTTATTTATTTATTTTACAAATTGAATAAAACGGCAACACTCCCACTCTCACTCACATTATTCCCCCTCCTCACTCCTACACTCCCTCCCACTCTAACTCCCATTCCCAAAAAGTTAAAGAAGAAAGTTTCATTGTTCTATCTTCAAAAATCATGAATTTCCATATAAATGTTCATCCCCCTTTTCAACCCTTAACAACCCTTTTTTGGCATGAAAAAGTAGTCTATGTCTTTCCTCAGGCTCTAGAATATCTGTGTACCAAATTTCATTTAAATCGGTTTAGTAATTTTGGTGTGAAAGCCGCACAGACAGCCAGACAGACAGAGTTGTTTTTTTAGTTGTGATTAAGTGTATTACTGTAATGTTATGATAAGTTAATGTATGTCTTGTGAAGTGATAGTTAAACGATAACCATCTAAAGTTAACCATAAAATGATGTTGTCATCGTCGCTGGTTCGCGGCAAAATAAAAAGCGGGTTTATGTGATATATTTTGACAAGAATTATGATCATACGCATCTTGCGTACAAATTCTTTCCCGCGACTTTGCCTATACACATATTATACATAGCAGCTTGATTCAGTCTATGAAATAGTAACATATTATATCGTATTGACATGTGTTTATTTTGTTATTGTTTATTTGTTTAGTTTATTTTGTTGAAAATATCTAAAATCCGATAAACTATAAATATTTAATACTGTTTACGCGGGTAGTACACATTTCGTTCTTCTATTTTTAGTAGTGGCTGCTGCAAAGCATCCGAAACGTCGGGTCATAGTTAGTATAATTTGTAAAAAGGTTAAAGAAAAAATTTCGTACTTTAAACGGTTAAAAATGTTTTATTTAATTAGTAATATTTTTTATTTATACCCTTACAAACTGTTTTTGTATGAAGTTTACTTAAAATACTGGAGAGTCAATATAATAGAAATAAATTAATACAACATAATAATACGGATTATAAAGAAGTATTACGGACTTACTTCCGAAACGTCGGATCGTAGATCTATAAAAAACTAATATATTTTCAACCCACCCCAATTAATAACCTTAAATATATTACTAAAAAATAAGAATTAAATTAAAAATATCTTCTAATTTCCAGTGTAACATACACGAAATTTCACATTAGTAGTCAACACACCATTGTGACCTAGATTTTTTAACAACAATTCATCGTACGGACAAGCCAATTTTTTATGATATAGATAAAAAGTATAATGGACGCGTGTGAAGACCGATATGTCGTAAGAGTCAACACGTGTGGTTATCAAATGGACCAAGATTACCGCAGTCAGTGAAAGGTATGCGCAAACGACTAATTGCTTTGAGTCTTGGATTATTTGTATCATTTTGGAGGCACGCAATCGTGATACAGGGTGATTTATATTTTTAAAGTTAGATTTACTACCACCAAGTTATATTTACAAATCCTTCACGCACTTATAGTTTTATTATTAGAGCGTGTTCCTCTTTAAGCATTGATGTCCTTAAACTTACGGCATATGAATAATTCTATTTTAATATAAATGAGCACGGCTGACGAATCGTGCACTTGTAATAACTATATATGTATATATACTACTAGTACATCCAGAGATCTTTATTTTGTTGTTGGCAAGATTATTATTATGTTGTACAATTCTAACAAAATACAACAATTACAAAATAAGATTACCCTAAAAATAATTCTTGCCTGTCTATCTTAATAAATAAAAAAGGGGACATATATAGTATATAAGATAGTAATACAGTATACGGGATTTTTTTAGATCATTTAAAGTGAAATATGTTTTGATTTCTTGAACCGTTTTCGCAGCGCACGCAATGGAGGTTCTCGACAATGAATAATTTTCCCCTTTTCCTATCTAGCACAAAAAGCTTTTTATAATTTAAATAAAACACTTTAACGGTTTAAAACGCGAAATATTTTTGTTAAACTTGTTTGAAGTTTTCAAACAAGTGTAACTAAACGGGTACTACTCGTGTAAACTACAGACATTTTTTTTTTAATTCGAACATGTAGTTCCTGAGATAAGTCCATTTGAACAAGTAAACCAACTCTTCGGCTTTATAATATTACGTAATTGTGTGTATATACGACAAATGTACCTTTATAGTTCAATCTAGTTAGTTTGTTGTATGTTATACAATAACTCATTATATTCGGGATATGAGCAGATAGGAAATCCTATATGTAATAATGAATCTAATGACTCAATACATTTTATTTCGGTCAAACTAATTCTCATAAGCGTTGATGGATTACAACATTCTGTATAATAAACCAGTCCACTCATCCGTACCATCTTAATAAAGTGATAGTAAAATATGATTAATTTGTAACGAATTTTTATATCAATGTTAAGTAATGCATACGGTTTGTGTAGGGCGTTCTCAATTATTATTTTAATTAATGGTCAGTATAAATTCTAATTGTACACGACTGTACTTACATAATGTTAAGAGGGCTATAAATTTTGAATATTACCTAGAAGTTTATAACTATGCAGTGATTAATAAGTCTATGTTATATTTTGGAAAACTCAAGCATTCGTCTTTATGCTTTCTCTGATTAATATAATTATAAACGTACAAAATATACTATATACAAGCCAATTCAAGATCTTGGATAAATAAAGTAGATATTGTTTGTTTAAGTATCAATTTTTTAGTTTTTAAAACGTATATTAGCATAATGCCTGGTTCTTACATATTTTTGAATAACATACATATCTCATATTATTTAAAATTTCTCTTAAAAGAAACATTGATTATTGGGACAAATACATTTCAGCTATGTAATGTTGGAAAAAGTAAATACAAATTTAATATATACGGTTGAATTGCGAACCTCCTTTTTTGAAGTCAGTTTGGAGATTATAGAAAAGATTCAAAAATTTAAGGGACCTAAAAATATCAGAAAAAGATCTTCAAATTCTACTATCAACTTAGCTACCTTGTTATCGTCTAGATCACATAAAATTAGTAAATATTTCAACGTTAATTTAGGCCGCCAGAGGCCTCACTGCAAT